AAAAGAGAGTGAAAGAAACTAACTTTGTCCTGACATTTTCCCAGCAAAACAAAAGGGTGTGGTCTAAATATCCCTATTTGAGCATGCGCACTAGATAAAACTGCCAAACCTTGTAACCATAGCAACGAGCTGCGCCGAGCCCCACCCTTATTTTGTTTTGCAGAAAACCAGCCCCACCCCTTTTTAAAACATGTTTACTCTTCTCTAAAAACTGATTTTGTGAGTTTGCAGGAACACAAAGAGGAGAATGCCTATGGCAAATCACGGCTAGTCTTGAACCCAAAAATAATTATTAAAAAATTAGCAAAATTAGAAAACCAAAGCAGAAAACCAATAATAATAAGCAAAAATTAAAATTTAAAATCCAAATTAAGCATCAATATTAATATTAAAATCAAATCTCAGTTCATTCTTAATAGCTTTAATCCAGTCCTCACCCAAAAATTTTGCTGCTTTAGCATAACTACCTCTTACAGCAACGAATGAGCTTAAGAACTGTTGGCAGTGCTCCTCCACTTGAGACACCTCCCTCATAAAACTAAGACTAGCCTTGAACTCATCAATGCACTCTTCCATTGAAGGAGTTTCTCTAACTTCATTACTAATAAGCTTAGCTGTGTACAACTGATTGACAAGACCAGTAAGAGACTTCTTAGGTAAAGAATTGAGAGCAGCATAATGAGATAGAAGAACATCATTGATCACTTTCTTTACTTTATTGACATCAACAGTAGCTGATGGACCTAATAGAGGTCAAAGGTCAGTATATACACACAGTATTATCACTTACTAGCTCCTCCGGTGGATGATACTGACGTTGATTCATGTACTACATTAGAGGAGGAGGAGGAGGTAGTAGGATCTGATTAATATTAAATAAATAAACAATTTTAAATCATTTGTATCTATTACCTGTTGAAGGAGGAGGAGGATTTCTTTGTGCTCTATGAATGTTTAATGTAACAGGATCAGCCACACCTTCCAGTGGTATGGAGTAATGTAGTGTAGGGACAGCATCAGGTGATCCATACACTGATATCAGGCAACGTGGAGGATGATGCCCTTTGTCACCAAAACTATCAACAGCCTTTTGATGTAACTGTAATAATGTAAAGAATAAAGATAAATATTATTACAAAGCAATACAAGCTTACTCTGCAAGGTTCAGTGTGAGGTTTAAGTGTCCATCCAGTAAATAGTTCCTTTTGTTCTGCAGTAAGGTTTAATTCAATGTAATCATTCTTAAAAGAAAAGGTAATATCAGGTCCAACTTTAGCTTGAGAGTGCTCCCATTTAATAAACTATCAAATAATAATAATAATCAATACATTGTGTGTGTGAAGGAATACATTCTTACTTGAATGAGTGCTTCCAGTTTCTTAGCTGCAGTGAATGTCACTAGATCCTCAACCCCTTCCTCCTCATAATAAACCAGACCAGCATAATCCATACTCTTCTCTACATTAGTATAAACTACACCTAATAAATATAATAAAATCAATAGCTATAATAATAATGACACTCACTATTAGTATAATTAGAACTAGGCTCAGTACAAAGCACAGCATCAGTAGCTGTTTCATGATCGTTCTTCTCTCCACTGCCTCCTTCCTGATGATCTCCTTCTTGTGATGGTTGCTGTCCCTGATCTGGTAGTGTTGGTTGTTCCTGTGACTGCCTCTCTCCTTGTTCCTCCACTCCTGGTTGGTTTCCTTGTTGTTGCTGTCCCTCTTGTCCCAGTCCTCCTTGTG